AGTAACTGCAACAATCTCTACGCAAACACCCCCATTGCATTCTGACTGTAAGGTGCGCCGTAGGCTGCCCTCTTTGAGGTGTGCTCTGAATCGCAGCCAACTCCAGGCATTGGCACGTGCCTTTAAGAACACAAATACCAATAGGAATTTGCACTTGTACTAAATGAAAGTTAGGGTTCCTGTTCAACAGCCGTCTCTGCAGTTGCTTCTGCTTATGGGACTGTGAGCTGCATGGTTTTCCAGACAGTATAGCTATTCTATGACTCTGTTGGGTTGGAAAATCCGTATAATTACAGTCCAATTAACACGTAAGCTAATTATTAATACAAAAAAGCTGAAGAGTGGGTTTTCTTTAATGCTGACTGCCAGAAAGCTTTCTAGTCTGTTTATTTACAGTGCGGTACTAACTGTCTAGTAAATTCTTCTGCAGAACTTCAGCACTTTGCACACAGTGCAAAGTTTAGCAACAGAGCTGGTACACATGATAGCCGGTCATTTTGGAAACAGCAGTATCTCATACTAAAAAAGGACCTTGGATTCTAAGTGTTCCTGTAGACAATTGCAGAAAAAACACACAGAACATTTAAGCCGTGATTATTTGGTTAAATAAACTTTTTCACTAGTTCCTTAACCTTATAACAGCCTCTCCCTGAGCTTCAAGCATCCAGTTGTGGCCAGTTGTAACTGAGTGTGTCCAAAAGGAGCTTTCAGATGTCAGGGCCAGCTGGAACAGTTAATCATCAGGGTTAAAATTTCATTTACAGTGGGTTCTGCATGACTCAGATACCCAACCCTCTGCCTCTTATTTCCCTTTGCTTACAGAATAGTTACTTAGTCACAGGATACTTACGGAGATTATCAGGGTTCCTGAAAAACTGGAGCATGTTGGCAAGGAGCCCTTCCTCCCACACGGAAAATCCTGCTCATCCTAGGGATTCCTCTGCAGGGAAGTCTGCATATCTGCATGAACAGGCAGCACAAGATAGGAGCAGAAATCTGTTTTTCTGAACGTTTCCCTCCTGAGCTCTGTTGGGAAATCACTTTTTACCAGCTGAAATACCGGCAGCTCTGGAGTTTGCCATGATTCCTGATTTGGGAAAAATAATTCAAGTGTGCCTTTTTGTGCTTCATAAAAATACTTCTCCTGAATTGTGTTAAATTGCTCTACAATTTGCTGTCACTTGATTCCTACAGAGACTTCAGGTTTAGTGGATCGCGTGATGGAAAGTGTTTCTCATGAGGCTCATGAAACATTGTGCTTGTTTTTACTATGAATCATGGGATTATTTTTTTCCTTCCCTATTTAGCTGTTGCTGACCATTGGACAGTTCTGGAGACTCATTCTTTTTTTTAAACTGAGTTTATTAGGGGAAGCAGGCAAACAAGGCTAAGTTAATGTTCAGCTGGAGACAACAGCCACATCTCTAGCTCAGCAGAAGTAGTCATGTGGGGATAAACCAAATATGCTTAAGTAAATAAATAGAAGTAGCTGATGGAGGAAGTCTTAAGCACAGCATCATGTGACTGAGGTTTGTTCTAACTAAAATGTGAACTTTAGTAATGAGATCTCAAAGGAAATGCTTTGTCCTCCTAGGTGCTTCTAAGTGATACCGCAGTTAGGAAGTTCATCCTATTTTTGTTGCCTTCTTATTGCCCGTGGGGGTCAGATCGAAGTACCTGGACAGTTCTCCTCTACTCTGCTGCAGAAACATCAAACAAAAATCTGGGGTTTGTGCCAGAAGATATGCTACATTATAATACTACTTTTTCTCTTTAAAACTTTTTTTTTAATATAGTCAATAATCATGCTTTTAATGGAGTTCTTGCTAATTGCTAACTCATATCTGAGAGCTGCCTTTTTAATGAAAAATCACTCTTCCCTCTCCTGCAGGATTGAGTTCCAGAACAAGTTCTACACTGGCACTGGATTCAAGTTTCTCCCTTTCTCCTTTGATACCATCCGTGAGGCGAGGTTTGATGATTAAAGATCCCTCCGCTCAAGCAGTGTTAAACATTGTGTGTTTCTGGCTAGCCCTCTCCCCTGTGTCTGAGTTGCATGTAATCCTTCTGTAGCAAAAATAACTTATTGCAGCACTCTCGAGTGTTACCATGGTGTTTCAAAGCAAGAACTTTGACATTCTTGGGTAATGAGTGACACTGGATCAAAGAAACTTTTCGTTCCTTAAGTTTACCACTGAATATACTAAGTGCATGAAGTGTCTGAGTTTGGTGTGTAGTAGTGTACTTCTCGTGTTGTGAATTCCCTGGCAGGCTGATCAGGGCAGTATGAGAGAAATGCAGCTATGGCGGAGTCGGCATACAAGCACATGGAGAAAAGGTGTAACGACTTCAGCTTGCGCAACACTTGCTGCTAGAGAACAGATTTTTTTTTTTTTTTAAAGAAAGTTTTACATGTGGATCTGTAAGTTCTGAAAGTTTTACATGTGCAGGATCTGCCCCTGATGAAACAAATTATGAGCAGTGGGCAGTTGACAATCCAGGGTGTGCTTCTCCTAGCTCCACAAAAACAATGTCTCATCAACTCTTTGAACTTGCTGGGGCTTGAGGAGCTGATATGAAGCAGTAGGACTCAGCCTCAGTTACGTGTATGGGGGCTCTCTGTTTGCTCTAGTGATGGGGAAACACCTTGTCCTTGCAAGAAAGGCTCTTCCTTTCCTTCCTGGAGAAGAGATGCTCCTTTAACTGTGCACCTGCACACTTGTATCGCAGGCAAAGTCCTATGTCCAGCAGCAAAGGCCCGTTCCACCTCTTGTTTCTGCAGGCTGTGCTGGGAACAGGGGGCTTGGCTGCCTTGCTGTGGCGTGGGGCGAGATGGAGGAGGGATGAGCTATGGTGCAAAGTGTCATCTCAGGTACTGACCACTGGCAGTGGAACTTCTTGGCTTTCTTGTTTAAAAACAAAGCCCTGAGGCTGCAAAGCCCTGGAGGCACATCCAGATAATGCTCATGTAGACTTGGCATCAGTGGAGGCAGCTTTTGCAAGAGTGGAGGGACCAGTGACATATGTTGTCATTTATACTCAGGAGTCTAAGGAGCCCTTTAAGGGAGAACAGAGGCTGAGTCTTGCCAAAATAGTCCCGTGGCAGTGGAGTCTTGGTGGTATTTCCCTGTGGTAGCTGTTGCTTTTTCTCCTGTGCAAGATGTGAGTAATTTCTTGCCCTCTTCAACTCGGTGTAGCTGTAGGAGCAGGGGGGTGTGTGGCTTGTGTTAGTGCTGTGTCTAACTGTTGTGTTTAATTGTGATGGTGGGTCTAAAGTATTTGTATATGAACAGATTAGAACAATAATGAGAATCATTGTAACCTGGAATTGAGGAGGAAATGCCACGCGGTGCAGGGCTGTTTAAAATTACATGAGAAAGGTATGTGTGCACTGCACACTGCAACGGGTGTGTGCACAGAGCATGGGGATCCTTGTGCACGGGCAGCTTCTGGGTAGTCACTGTGTTTACAGGTAGACTTGGCTGTATGTTTACAATGGTGGTTGCAGAATGAAAGATGAAATCGAAACATGTCTGCAGGTGGAGCAGTGACACCAGTCCTGCTTCTCCGGGTGAAATGCATTGTTGACAGTCACTGTATAAATTAAACAAACTGCACAACAAGTGGTGTAGCCTCTTTTCTGCTTCCTCTGCAGTCTCTGAAGGGGGCTTCCAGGCAGCCCCTCTTCCCTGTCCAACACTGGGCAGGGCCCTGAAGGCTGCCTTGGGGGCAGCTGGGACCTTCAGCTTTCCTGCACTGTCCATCAGGGTGACAGGATCCCATGACAATGGGGTGGGCAGAGCTGGTTTGTAAAATGAGATTGTGTGACACTGCCTCAGATGAAACGTGTCAGTGCTTATCAAGCCCCGGCTGACATCCTGAGCAAAGGGTGGCCAGGGCCATTTTGCCCTGGAGCCTCCAGCCTGCCCAGATAAAGCTGTTATGCAGGAGGAAACACTGAGGCTTGGTTAAACCTGGCTGTTGTGGACACCCTTTCACGAGCCTGCTTGGGGCTGCTGCTCCCCTGTTCCCAGCATCCCCTCGTGGGGACCCACTCCCCACCCGTGATGGATGTGTTTACTCAGGCCTTTCCTGCAGGGCCTGGGGCTGCCTGAGGGGGTTTTTCCACATATGCGGGAGGAGCGGAAGGGAGGTTTCTGTGGAGGTTTGGCAATGGTATTTTTGAGGTTGTTGCGGCCCAGTGTGTTTCCTGTCTCCCGATGTCTCTGGGAGGGCGAGGAGCCGGTCTGTGCTGCCCCTGCAGCTGGAG